AAGATGTGTCCTAGTATGTGGACAGGTGCTTGCTTTGTAGGAAAGTCAAGGTAGAGCATCAACAACCTCACGACAAGATGGAGCCATTGGGTGTTGCCGTTTAGAAATGGGAAGATATCATGATGGATTTTATCACAAAGCTATCATGGACTGCACGAGGGGTGGATTTGATTTGGGTCATCTTGGATCGATTGATCAAGAGTGTGCATTGCATCCCTGTTTAGGAGAGAATTTCCACGGAAAAGTTAGCAGATGTCTATATCCGGGAGGTTGTAGCACAGCATGGGGTTCTGTCTCGGTGGTTTTGGATTGAGATGTTTTGTTAACTTCCAGGCAATGTTTTAAAACCTGGGTCGACCCGGCCGGTTGAACCAGTTGAACCGTGACCTGGGATAGAAAACGGGTTAATCAAGACCGGGTTTTTGTTAAAATACCGACCGGATCGAACCGGCCGGGTTTACCACGAACCGCGGTTGAACCGGGTATCGTGAACCGGTAAAAACCGGGTTGGCCCGTATATTAGGGCTTAATTAGTTGAGTATCTTGTATCGCTCCAGGCCACAAAATAGAGTTCCCATTCTTCGTTCTTCTCTGGGAAACAAACGCAGCACATCGCAAACGAAAGTGTATAGCAGTCGCCTCCATTCTCCGGCGAATTCATTCTCCGGCGACTTCATTCTCCTTCAGTCGCCTCCAGGTGAGTTTCCGATTCCTTTCCTTTCTTTTTCTTTTTGCTGCTAAATCGACTTCCGATTTCCTTTCTTTTCTTTTTTCTTTTTTTATTTGCTGCTACATCGACTGGTGTTTCAGTCTGAAACTTTCAGAAGTGCCTTGGTAAGTTGGTTGTTCCTTCTCCCCCTAAACCCAATGCAGTGATGACCGGGTCGACCTCAACAGCAACTGCAATGCAGTGACTTCCTTTTTCTTCTCTAATTTTCTTTTATTCTTTAATTGACTTTGAAATCAGTTGAATTTACAATTCATTTATTGTTAATTATCAATTACAGGTGATAGATTTTGTTAGTTTATTTATTCTTAATTATCAATTACAGGTGAAATCAATTACAGTTCATATATTGTTAATTACCATTGTTTCAAGATTTTGTGACAAATTTGGTTAGTTTACATTTCATTTATTGTTAATTGGTCATTGTTTCAAGGTTTTGATTATGTAGATTATGAAATTAGGATCCAATTGACATATGTTTATTGATTATAAAATTACTTTTCAATGCAGTTAGATATGGAATCAAGGGAAGAACAACCATTGCAAGCACAATCTCAAACTCAATCCCATTCTTCGGTTCAATCAAATGTACGAACAAAGACGGATATAGCATGGGAACATGTTACTCAAGTCGTTGATGAGAAGGGGAAAAAGGCATGGATATGTAACCTTTGTCAAAAAGTTATAGGTGGTGGTGGAATAAACAGGGTTAAGAAACATCTTGCTGGTATTAAAGGTGAGGTAGCAGCATGCCCAAAAGTTAGTCCAGAAGTGCGGTTTACAATGCAAGGAAAGTTGAAAGAGACTGCCCAAAAAGAAAAAGAAAAACGCACCACTAGTGTTACTATCTTGGATGATGATGAAGAGATGGAGGAAATAGAATTGTCAACTGTGAAAAAGGGTAAAAGGAAATCTACTTCAAACTTGCATCCATTTTTTACAAAAGGTATAAATGATCCTTCCCAACCCACTATTAAATCTGCAATGCAAAGTAAGGCAAAAATACATGATGTGGATTTAGCTATTGCTATGTGGTTTTATGATGCATGTATACCTATGAATGCTTGCAACTCTCCTTTTTTTCAACTTATGGCAGATAAAATAGCAAGTATTGGTTATGGGTACAAAGCACCTAATTATCATGCTCTGAGGGTTAATTTATTGACAGATGCAAAAAAGTCAGTTTCATTGATAATTGATTCGTTAAGAAGTCAATGGGTTGATACAGGTTGCACAATTATGAGTGATTGGTGGAGGGATGTTTCACAACGACATTTGATTAATTTCTTGGTTTATTGTCCGAAAGGGATATCATTTCTTAAATCTGTTGATGCATCTGATATAGAGAGCAATGCTACAAATTTGTGTAATTTGTTTGCTGAGATTGTTGAAATGGTACGAGAAAAAAATGTGGTTCAAATGGTAACTGATAATGCTGCTAATTACAAGCTTGCTGGTACTAAGTTATGTGAAAGATATCCTTCTATTACTTGGTCTCCATGTGCAACACATTGTCTTAATCTTGTATTAAAGGATCTTTCAGAATTGGATAATGTGAAAAGTTTGGTCAATCTTGCAGCGAGGGTGACTATTTTTGTTTATAATCATAAGTGGCCGTTGAATTGGTTAAGAAAAAGACCCGGTTGGAAAGAAATTATCCGTCCAGGTGCTACTCGGTTTGGTACCGTTTTAATAGCATTGCAAAGTTTGTATGACCATAAAGAAGATTTACAAGCAATGGTCATATCTAATGAGTTTAAGAAGATGTTGAAAGTGGGAAATGCGGTTGAATGTAAACAGATTGTCTTGAATGAAATCTTTTGGAAGAATTGTTTGATTACAGTGAAAGTAATGACTCCTTTGTTAAAGCTTTTGCGGTTGTGTGATTCGGATGAAAAACCTGCAATTGGTTATGTTTACGAGGGAATGCGTCGGGCAAGAAGAGGGATTAAGGAATTGTTTAAGAAGAAGGAGTTATATAGGCCTTACACTAACATAATTGATAGCCGTTGGGATAGGATGTTAAGAAAAAGTATTTATTGTGCGGCTTATTGGTTGAATCCTGTTTTCCAATATGATCATGCAAATCTTTGTAAGAAGAATGAGGTGTTTCAAGGCATTCTTGAAATGGTTGAGAAGACTTTTAAAGGTGATGACGTGTTAAATATTACCTTGAATTTAGGGAGGTTTTGTGATGCTGAAGGTACCTTTAGTAGATCTAGTGCCGTTGCTTCTTGTAATCTTACTCGTCCAGGTATGATTTAAACTTAATGTGTCATTATTATATATAAAATATTGTATTTTCTAATAATTTTTTTTGCTAACTATATCATTTGTAGATGAGTGGTGGAAGTTATTTGGCGGAGATATTCTGGTTTTGCAAAAGTTTGCTATTAGAATATTAAGTCAAACGTCATCTTCTACCGGTTGTGAACGTAACTGGAGTGTATTTGAAAGGATTCACACGAAACGGAGGAATAGATTGGAACATCAAAGATTAAATGATCTTGTATTTGTTCATTACAATTTGCGTTTACAAAATAGGTATGGTAACTTGCTAAGATATACTATGCTATAAAATGACCAAGTTATATTTGAGATTTTTTTGAATGTTTTTGTAGATTGAAGGTTGATATGAGGTCTTACGATCCTGTTGACTATGAAAATATTGATAAGACGGGATTTTGGGTGGTTGAAGAAGAGCGGGAAGGAGAACTTAATTATGATGATTTGGAAAATATGCTTGATGAGCAAGAGCATGAACCGGCTTCTGAATCACAAGGTGACCATGTTGATCATGAAGTTGATAGTGAATTTCAGTTACTAAGTGACCGCGAGATCGATGCTTATAATACTCCAATTTCCCAAGATCCATGATTTGGTTTGGTCGTAACGTGTTTGGATTTGTCTACAACTATGTTTTCTTTTGTTATTTATACTTTATGTTGTTGTTTGTTGTGTTAAGATTGATCTATAACATGTTATTAATACTCTATGTGGTTGTTTGTTGTGTTAAGATTGTTTTTTGTGTTTAGATTAAACTTTGTTGACATCAAATTATTGGTATTATATGTCTATGTAGTATGGAGGAAAGCAAAAGTATGTGAAAATAAAAAAAATGCCATAAACCGGGTTGACCCGACGGTTGAACCGTGAACCGGTCATCACACCGGGTCAACTAAAAACCCGGGTCTTAAAACATTGCTTCTAGGTTTTGGAAGAGGTTCCATGAGGAATTAGGTACTTGGTTTCACTTCAGCACAACTTTTCATCAGCAAAATGATGGTCAGAGTGAGTGGACTATCCAGACCTTGGAGGATATGCTTCGAGCATGTGTATTGGATTTTGGCCGTAGATGGGATACATATATTTCCTTGGATGAGTTATCTTACAACAACAACTACCACTACAATATTAATTGACCTCCTTTTGAGATGCTTTACGGGAGAAAGTGTCGGACCCTGATTTGTTGGGGTAAGGTTGGTCATTGAGTTACGGGTAGCACGAAGGTGGTACTCCTACACTAATAGATGTTGGTTAGATTTGGAATTTCAGGGTGGGGATATGGTACTCATGAAGGTGTCACCTTGTAAAGGTGACATCCTGTTCAAGAACCGGGGCAATCTAGGCCCCCCAATATATTGGTACTTTCAGGATTATGGCCCAGGTAAGCAGGGTTGTGTATCGCTTAGAGACACCTGAGGAACTCAGTTAGATTCACAACATGTTTCACGTCTCTCAGCTGCAGAAGTGTTTGGTTGATGGTTCCTCAGTGGTTCCTTTGAAGGATATTCAGGTGAAGTAGCTCCTAAGTTACATTGACAAAAACAATCACGATCCTTGATTAGAACCCAAAGACATTATGGAGCAAGTAAGTGAGCTTAGTGAAGGTGTAGTGTTAGCACCATAAAGGCTTAGAAAGGACATGGGAGCCTAGGGGGGAGATGAGTGAGCATTGTCCTGAGCTATTTGCAGAGGTGGACTTCGAGGATAAAGTCTAATTCAAGTAGAGGAGAATTGTAACATTCAATTTCCAGTACTTGTCATTTTAAGTTTAAAAATGCAAAAAAAAAAAAAGTCATTTTAGTCCTTACGCATGGCGTACGTGGGAGCTACACCCTACGTAGCTCTTTTAATTTTGGACACGGACTCTAGCTAGTTCGTTGGGCGTATGTGGTGGTATGTCGGGTGTTAGATGCATTTTATATGCATCTTTTAGCACAATTTCCAACGTATTTCATTATAAAAAGCTAACTAACTCCTGATTATTCTTATGTATTTCGTGTTTCATGATTATTTTGAAGAATACCCGTACTGCTCATGTTTGTTACGACTTTTCAGGGCCATTTGGAGCACATTCATGATTGCGCAAGTTCGGGATGCGTTTGTGGATGCTTTGGAGCTTAATTGGAGTCTAGACCAAGGAGGGATGCCGGGAAATGATCAAGAACTGCTTGGAAGGAGAAATGACAATCAAAAGAGCCAAAAATTAGTAACATGTGATCGCAGGTATGCCCTTGCTATTGCAGGTTGCTAACAAGGTTTTGTCGAGCCAAACAATTCATCAGTTGAGGAAAAAAAGAAACATGCGATCGTAGGTTGTGCCCTTCCGATCACAGGTTGGTTAATTTGCATCGAAATGGCAACGTACTTCATTAAAAAGTCTCGTGACTCGTTTCGGGTAAAACCTGCAATCGCAAGTTGTCCCTTTGCGATCGCAGGTACGATGTTTTCACAGCTAGACGTATAAATACGACCCCATACTCTTCCAGTAACACTAATTGGTGATTCCTGGCGATTCAGAGGCGATGTTCAGAGGTTTACAAGTGAAGAACGCAAATCTTTCGATTCTAATTCATAGTTTAGTAAGATTTATCGTTTAGATTCTATTTTCACTGTTTGTAATCAATTTTTAGCCATGTAAGGCTAAAAACTCAGATTTCAGTTTCACAAGACGTAACCTTTTCGTGTGATTAATCATTAGGCACTATGTTTGACTATGATTATTGTTTAGTTTGATCAATTCTGTGTTAAATTGAGTGTTTGATTTTGATTTCAATTTTTGTTGGCCACTTAAATTGTTTGTTAATCATTCTAGTCATCTAATTGTTTAGATCCGTAGTTGTCTAGATTAATTAGTAAAAAGTGACATATATTAGATTAATTCCGAGTTTAGGGTTAACTCTAATATGAAATGATCAAACAAGTTTTAACACCTCCGAGCTTATAAGAGGTATTGAATTTTATTGGGAATTACACTGTGTCTAATGCAACTTTTCTTTATTAGTCAAGAGCTTGTTTGGTTAATTTAGTAAAAAGTTAGATTTAATTCAAAGAGCTTATTTTGATTAAATGATTTTTGTAATAAAGGTCATTATAGCTTGTTAATGAACCTTAGTACCAGTTTAAACAAGTGCATAGTCAAATATTGTTTTGAAGGTTAATTACACGATTAGGGGAGTCACCGCGAAACTGGAACTGCTTTTTCTTAATTGAATTTTCATCACTTTAAATTTAGTCATTTCCTTGTCATTTTCAACTTCTATTAGTTTAATTTTCAGAAATAACCCCCCCCCCCCCTTTTATTTTTATTGTATTCATCAAGAATTAGATCACACCTTACGCAAAGAGATGTTAACATTAGGACGTGTCCCTGAGGATCCGACCTTGCTTACCTCTACCACCTGTTAGTGTAATAAAGCAGTTTATTTATTGTTTTTATTTGTTTAAATGGTGTACGATAGCGGTCTTAAAAAAATTGGAGCCGTTGTCGAGGACACGGTAAAACACTAATAGTTTTATGCCAAGATCTTCACGTACAGGTAATCTGATTTTTGATCCAGAGATTGAGAAGACTGCTAGGAAGCTAAAGAAGGAGGCAAAACTTCGAAAGAAACAAACAGGAACCTCAACCTCACCCATACCACAAGGCACTCCCTTGTGGAACGAACCTGAACACTCATTTCAACCTTTTCCAAAAGCACCACCTACCTCACTCGTTAACAGCTCGTTCAAAACATACTCATCATCATCTTCAGACAAACCCGAACTCACAGATTCTTCGGAAACCGAATCAGAATTCACCATAAGCGAAAATGGAGACGAAGCTAAAAAAACTCTATGTGAGTGGGCAACACAAGAGGTTACTGAACAGCCCTTGTGTATCACCTTTCCAGAAGCTCGAAATTTTGAGCTCAAATCCGGTTTAATCCATCTGCTGCCCCCGTTTCGAGGCCTTAAGAATGAAGATCCCCATAAATTTCTCAAGGAATTCCATGTTGTCTGCTCTGGAATGAAACCCCATGGAGTTATTGAAGACCAGATCAAACTCAATGTGTTTCCTTTCTCAGTCCAAGATGCAGAAAATGAGTGGTTATATGACCTCCCATCTGATTCAATAACAAGCTAGAATGAACTCTCCAAACTCTTCATAGAAAAATATTTTCTCGAGGAGAAAGTGGAAAATCTACATAGAGAGATTTTAGGTATAAAGCAAGGCATAAGAGAAGCTCTCCACACTTATTGGGAGCGATTCAAGAAGTTGTTAGTCCGATGCGCATTAGTGATGATCAGTTATATCAATGTTTCTGCGAAGGATTGATACATATGGAGAGGCGACTAATAAATACATCTAGTGGAGGGTCACTTTCAGACATGACACCAACAGAGATCATGACATTAATAGAGAAGTTGGCCAGTGAATCAAAACATTCATCAACTGAGGAAGAGTGGTACCCAGACCATCCAAGAGGAGTCAAGGAGATGAGCAACGCCCACTTGAAATCCCAGATTTCAGAATTGACTAAAGTTGTCCTTTTGTTGACAAAAGAAAAAAGGTATTGAGCCAAAGGTCAAACCTTGTGGGATCTGCTGCAAAACCGGGCACCCAACTTATATGTTCCCAATACTTCAAGAAGATAATGAATCTGTGCAAGCTATGGGAGGATGTCATCAAAGTCCATTTGATCAACATCACAACAACCAAGCTTGGGGAGGGCCTGAAAATAACAATTTCTAGCTAAGACCTCAATAGAACTTTCATCAAAGAAACCAATATCAAGCTCCACCCGGGTTTCAGCAATCTTTTCAGCAAAATCGGCACCAGAGCAATTTTTAACAACCACCTGTTCAGTCACAAGCTAGTAGTTCCATCATGTCTTTGGAAGACATAGTTAAAAGTCATGCAACCAGTACCCAAGCTTTCCAAAATGAAATAAAGTCTAGCATAAAAAATCTAGAGCAGCAGGTATCGCAACTCACGAACTCCATGAGCAAATTAGAAGCACAAACACAAGGAAAATTCCCATCTTAGACTGAGAAGAACCCGAAGCACAATGCTTGTGCTGTCACCCTCAGAAGTGGTAAAAACTACAAAGGACCATATCAGCAAGAAGATGAGGAAGAATAGATCGTGTTTGAGCAAGAATCTGAGGCAACTAAAGAGGTGCAAAAAGAAGATGGACCTGCTAAAGCTGAAGTGAAACTTACCTCTCCTCCTTTTCCTTCAAGACTAAAAAACACAACAAAAGAAAAGGAAGATAAAGAGATTATGGATTTCTTCAGAAAGGTTGAGGTAAATATTCTCATTCTTGATGCTATTAAACAACTACCCCGATATCCTAAAATTTTAAAAGAGTTATGTACTTCAAAAAGAAAATTAAAAGGAAACAAAACAGTTAAAGTAAGCGAGAATGTTTCAGCTGTTTTACAGAAAAGGTTACCCCTAAAGTGTAAGGATCCAGGGGTATTTACTGTTCCTTGAAAGTTGGGGTATGGCCTTTAAAAAGAACAGGATTCATCAATCTATTAGTTGATCGTTCTCTGGTGCACCCAAAAGGTGTACTGGAAGACGTTTTGGTTCAAGTGAATGAACTCATATTCCCAGCTGATTTCTATGTTTTTGATATGGGAGATGGCGACTCACCAAACTCAGGTTCCATTCTTTTGGGGAGACCATTTTTAAAAACTGTCAGAACCAAAATTGATGTTTATGATGGTAACCTTTCAATGGAATTCGATGGGGAAGTTATAAACTTCAATATTGATGATGCCATGTGTTACCCTGATGATGTTTCAGCCCTTGGTTTCGTTGATGTATTTGAACCATTATCTGCAGAATATTTTGATATTGCTAACCGTGAGTCACTAGCGTTAGTGCTCCATAGAAATTTGTCTATTAATGCAGATCAAGTTATATCAGAAAATTATGTGGTTGATAGAGAAATTCAAGAGATGGCAGCTCATATGGACCAGCAGAGGAAGTTGAGGCATGGTACCCAAACTCTAAAATTACCAATTTCTAACTCCAAGCTTTTTCCTTCTGTAGTGCAAGCTCTCATCTTGGAGCTAAAGTCACTTCCAGAACACCTGTAATATGCATATCATGGAGAAAAAGAAACATTACCAGTTATCATATCCAACAAGCTATCAGAAAAAGAAGAGTTCAAGCTGATCAAAATTTTGAAGGACTAGAAAAATGCAATTGGGTGGACTATTGCAGACATCAAAGGACTCAGCCCATATATTTGCATGCATAAAATTTTGATGGAAGAGGATTATAAGCCATCGCGAGAATCCCAACGCAGAAAGAAGTTATGAAGTTACTGGATGTTGGGATAATATACCTAATTTCTGACAGCAAGTGGGTCAGCCCAGTTCAAGTTGTTCCCAAGAAGGCTAGGGTGACAGTGGTAGAGAACAAAGAAGGAGATTTGGTTCCAACCGGGGTTCAGAACGGATGGTGTATGTTTATTGACTAAAGAAAATTAAACGCAGCCACCCGGAAAGATCATTTCCTCTCCAATTCATAGATCAAATGCTAGAGAGGCTTGCTGGAAAATCTCACTACCGCTGCTTGGATGGATTTTCAGGTTTCCACCAGATTCCAGTTGCTCTAGAAGACTAGGAGAAAGCGACTTTTACTTGCCCTTTCGGGAGATTCGCGTATAGGCATATACCCTTTGGACTTTGCAACGCACCCGCTACCTTTCAAAGGTGTATGGTTAGTATCTTTTCCGAGTATGTGAAAATATCATAGAAGTCTTCATGGATGATTTTACTGGCTATGGAAACTCCTTTGATATTTATTTGAAAAACCTTACAAAACTTTTACAAAGATGTATAAAAACAAACCTGGTCTTAAATTTTGAAAAATGTCACTTTATGGTTGACCAATGACTGATTCTTGGACATATTGTTTCAAAAAGAGGTTTAGAAGTCGATAAAGCAAAAATAGATGTTATAAAGAGCTTACCCTACCCGAAGAATGTTCGGGAAGTGCATTCCTTTCTTGGTCATGTAGGATTTTATAGGAGGTTTATAAAAGATTTTTCAAAGATATCAGTTCCCTTGTGCCATGTTCCAAAAAGACGTTGAATTTGACTTCAATGAAGATTGCAAGAAAGCTTTTGATGTGCTGAAAAATCTTCTTATTTCTGCCCCCATCATTCAGCCCACAGATTGGAGTTTACCATTTGAGATAATGCGTGACGTCAGCAACACTGCTGTTGGAGCCGTTCTAGGACAGAAAAAAGACCGGGTTCCCCACGTTATATATTATGCATCAAAAACTTTGGATAATCCCCAAGCAAATTACTCAATCACAGAAAAAGAATTGGTATCAATTGTTTTTGCATTGGAAAAATTCAGACAATATTTGTTGGGCACGAAAGTTATAATTTTTTCTGATCACACAACTATCCGGTACCTTCTTGAAAAAAAAAGACTCAAAGCCAAGGTTGATTAGATGGATTTTGCTGCTATAGGAATTTGATATAGAGATTAAGGACAAAAGTGGGAGAGAAAATTTGGTAGCTGATCATTTGAGCCGACTCACCCCACCTGAAGACCCGACACCGATCGGCGATACATTTCCTAACGAGAA